CATCAAAATTAGCCTTCATATCCGTGCATGTCAAACCCCAAAGGTAGAGTACCTAAAAGAAAACTTTGAGTAAATGAATATCCAAAGTCCATTTATTGCAGATCTCCAGATCAGGTAAAAGGAAATTAAAAAGACATGATAAACTGAGTTTAATTAACACATGATTAACAAAAAAAAAAAAACAACGATTATAAATTATCAAAACTTTGTCCTAATTAATCCTCAGGAGAAAAAGGAACAAACACATATCAGAGATTTCTTATCAGTCAAAATATATATACTACTGGGACATTTTGTGTCTAATTCACAGATCAGTGAAATCAAATAAAAGTAATATCTCTCTAAACAGCATTTGGAGATTTCCATGACAAACAGTTCAAACGTAGCTTGCGAAAGGAATAGAGAGAAGAGAGAGAGAACCTATCGGCGATGTAGCTCAGGAGAGAATCGCTCACGAAATGTTCAATGTTAATCTCTAGCAATCCACCCTGGCTGAGATCAACAATGTGACGGCACATGCCCTCGAAATCGAACCGATAGAATAGGCAGTCTCGCAAGTTGATTTTCTGCCACATCGAAGGGTCTTTACATACGCGTCGCCACTGTCTGCACACCTTCCGAGCGTTATCCAGTATATCAGTCACGCTAAGTCGGAGCAGGATCGAAGTCGTCAACTCCGGCGGAAGATCCAACCAGTTTCGTTGCTCTTTTCTTCGCTCTTCATCTTCTTTCATGATCAACGACTGCAACGTAGTGGAGGTTGTCATTTTCTCTTCTCAAAAAGAGGAGGCTGTCATTTTCTTTTCTGAAAAAGAGGAGGCTGTCGTTTTTGAGGATAAGATTAGGTCAAATTAGTGAATAAGAAGTGAAGTGTATTGTTTCGGACATTTGGTCATCGTAGTATTATGTGTCTACGGTACGATTCATGCCACGTCTAATTAGGTCTCAATACTCCTGAAGAATCAAGCAAGACCAGCCGCATATATCGCAGATAACACTCACGCGCTAATGTTTGCTTGATTTTCTAAGGCCTAGGTAAATACACGCGCTCATAAACACTTTTGCCACCACCTCAATGATATCGTCATGAACAATCTTGGACTCGTTTTTTTTTTTTACTCGTTTCTATTTAAGTAAAAATAATAATTCCGTTTGATTTTTTGTTTTTGTTTTAATGTTAAGATTTTCTACCAAATAAAGTTTTATATAGTAATCTATCTAGCAGGAAAAAAATCAAACTTATCCAACAAAATATAGATTTAAAAGAATTAGGTTCGGTTTTGTTAATGCTTTATCATCAATTATATTTTTTAAAAATATATATATATATTTGCATATGTTAACTTTGATATAATTAAATAATCGATAAATGAAAAATATGGTTATTTAAATGAATAAATTGTATTCATTGTTTCGGAGCAAACCGTAGATTATTCTATGAGAGTTCAATGAGACTCTTCTGGTTACTTCGGGCATGCAAGATTTCCAAGAAGTGGTGTGGGCGGTATTGTTCTTTAGTGGATATGAGGACTCATGGTCCGCTATTCACAAGAGTAACAAGCGAGAGGATGGTTTAGTTAGTAAGAAGTTGGATAAAGTTCTTAAAAATCAGAAGGAAATGAGGAATTTGAAACTACCAACATAGAGAAAAGAGGAGATATGCAACTGAAGATTTGCAACAACAACCTAGAAACAAGGGATCACTTATTCTTTTCTTGCATATTTGCAACTGAAGTTTGGGAAAATCTAGCAAAAAACATATACAAGGCAAAATACTCAACAAACTGGTCAGCTCTAATTGTTACTGTCTCAGGTTAGTGGCAAGATCGAGTTGAGAACTTCGTCGCTCGCTACCTTTTTTAGACTGCAATTCATATGATATGGCGTGAAAGGAATGGACGTAAACATGGTGAACCGCCGAATACAGGTGCTCGCCTAATCACTTGGATTGATAAGCAAATGAGGAATTAAATCACAACAATCAAATCAAGTGGAGATGCTCGCTTCGACAAGGCACTCCAATTCTGGTTCCAATCAAGATCGTGATCTATTTCAATTTCAAACTTTAAGAATTTTTTCTGACAAAAACTCTTAACTAAAAGTGGCACTTGTTGTAAAAACGTTATTTTCTTTTTGAATTTAATTTAACATTTTATTCAAAAAAAAAAAAAAAGAGGAGATATGAACAAAACCACATGTTCTCTTTATTTTTCAGAAAGATTCAATTTCTCGTACCAATAATAGTCACTGGCATCATAGAGAAAAGAAGAGACATGATCGAGTTCATAAGTTGACAAGACCATCAAATGCAATCCTGTGTTCACAAAAGATTCAACCTGTAGTCATCATCTGAATCAGAATTGACAAAATGATATTATAGCAGCGGTTGAGTCACCGGGGCGTCTCAATTCTTTGATCCTCTCCAAACATCGCTTCTCAAGATTCCCGACAAGGTTCATGTTGAAACACTTGCGTACATGATAAGTTTTGAACTCACAAAATCCTTTATAGATCTCTGTAGCTATTGATTACAATCACACAAACACAGATTACACAAGATGATAAAACGATAACTATGAACAACCGATTATGATCTCATAAGGATCACAGAAGCTCTAGTCACGATCTCATGGCGATCGTGATCCCCAAGCGATTCATCACAACTCTTACAATCAACAACCAAAAGCATAAAACATCAAGCATCACAATCTCTTATGTATACATGGGACGGGTCTCCTTCCCCAGCTCTTCCGACTGTCACGGCTCATTTGACATCTCTGCTTCATTCTTCTTTACTTGCTTCTTAATTATGTCTTATTTGTACGTCAAGGTGTTCCAGATGAGGACAACCGTCACGAATGGCGTTTAAGCCTGTGTCGGTTAGTCGTCCGTTCCCAATAAGCTGGAGGTGGCGTAGTTCGGGCATGCTTTCAGCGATTGCTATGGCATCATCATCATCACAAGGGGTGTAGCCTGAGAAGTTTATCTTCAATGTCTTTAGCTGTGGGCAAGCGTGGCCTATAGCTTTCAAATCCAGTATAAACAATAAGTCGAAGAACTCGAGGGTTTCAAGAAATGGAAATTTCGCGATTGCGTTAACAAGTTCTTCTATCGTTGTTATCGATGGGTAACAGACTGGAAGTGCAAAACTTTTCAGATTACTTGATCTGAAAATAGTTACGTGAAGAGTTAAATCATAAACTAAGAAGATGAGTAACAAAAATATGTTATAAAAAAAAAAAACCATAACTAGAAATTCTCATATATAGTACTAATCAACTCAGAAGCATGTAAAATATGAAGAGCAAAGAATAATGTGTTATGTACAATCCCTTTGATCAAACTGGGACGACGAGTACATGCATGGCTTAAAAGATCAAAACTGTAATGATGCTTTAAGCAAGTCTATGACAAGAGCTCTATAAGCTAACGATATTCTTATATCTGCTAATAACCTATATAACTAGTTGTTTTCTTTAATCATGACAAAGGATAAGTATTAAGTAATTAATCAAGTATGATGAGGGTAAATAATAACGGGTGAAACAAAACTAGACTAGAACAATGTGAGAACAAAGGACTATAATAAATTTATAGCAACAGTTACTTGAAAGAACAAAAATCGAAACGATTTACTCTAAAAGACTATTAAGGCATGAAAATTAGCCTTCATATCTGTGCATATCTAACCCCAAACGTAGATTACAGAAAAGAAACCTTGAAGTAAATGAATATCCAAAGTCCATTCATAGCAGATCGCCAGATCAGGTAAAAGGAAATAACAAGACATGATAAACTGAGTTTAACTAACATATGATAAAACAAAAAAATCAACGATTATAAGTTATCAAAATTATGCCGTAGCTAAATCCTCAGGGCATTTTGTGACTGATTCACAGACAGTGAAATCAAATAAAAGTCATATTCCTCTAAACAGCATTTGGAGGTTTCCATGAAAAACCGTTCAAAAGTAGCGAATGTAATGAAGGGATAGAGAGAAGAAAGAGAACCTATCGGCGATGTAGCTGAGGAGAGAATCGCTCACGAAGCGATCAATTTTGATCTCTAGCAAGCCGCCCTGGCTGAGATCAACAGCGTCACGGCACCTGCGGCGCATGCTATCTGCATTGTACTTGAACAATATTCCGCGGTTTGCCAAGTCTCGCATGTCGATTTTCCGCCACATCGAAGGGTCTTTACAGATGCGTCGCCACGGGCTGCACACCTTCCGAGCGTTTTCCAGAATATCAGTCACGCTAAGACGGATCAGGATCAAAGACGTCAACTCCGACGGAAGATCCACCCAGTTTCTTGGCTCTTCGTCTTTCATCGGCGACGTAGAGGAGGTTCTCATTTTCTTTTTTGCAATAGCGGAGATCGTCATTTTTGAGGATAAAAATTAGGTCAAATCACTGCATAAGAAGTGAAGTGTACCCTTCTGCTTCCGTCTCTAAGTCAAAATTTGGTCATCGTAGTGTACGATACAGTTCATGCCACGTATAGTTTGGTCTCGACTATACGTATGTTAAATTTACCACATTTACATATGTTAAATTTGATAGAGTTTATCACTTAAGTAATGAATAAATGTGGTAAGTTAGATGAATATATAGTGATTTGTCTAACAAAAAAAAAGTTGAAGTTGAATGAATGATATGCAAAATACTGTGTTATTGCGACAAAGCAGTTTAGCTTCAATGTCTTTAGCCGTGGACAAGAATGAATGACCTATATAGCTTTGATTAATGTGAGACCTCGAGCTCTCACGAAATGGAAGTTTTGCGACTTCTTTTACAATGAAGTATAGCAAGACCACTGTTTTAAAAGTAATATTATGGGTCTGTGTCGGTACAATGACGTTTTCCAAATTTGCAGGTTAAACTGGCCTATCAAGTTTGCAGGTTGATAAATCGGACAAGAAGGCGATTTTCTTGAAAAAAGTTTGGGACTCTGTTCTTACCATCTGAAGGAAATTACAGGCTCAACTAGGGACTAAAGCAAAAGGGGACACACACGTCCACTGAAACTAGGGACTTACCCGAAAGAAAGAAAACAAGAACGAGTTCATTACCACTTACCACTGATACGATTCGACTGCGTATCCTTATCTAGTCAGTAGTCATAAAAATACAGGTCAGAATGATAGTAGAGGTCGTACTCAGTGTCATTGTTACCATATGAGTAAATTACCTCCTCTTCTCTTTTTTCTTCTTCTACTAAATCAAAATCCGAAAAAATGGCATATGGGTAATCAGCAGGTGAGTCATCAGGGCATCTAAGTTCTTTAATCCTCTCCAAACATCGTTTCTCCAGATCCCCGACAAGGTTAATGTTGAAACACTTGCGTAAATCAAGTTGTTCTAGGTGAGGACAACCGTCAAGAATGGCATTCAATTCAGTGTTGGTTTAGTGTGTTCCCAATAAGCTGGAGGTGGAGAAGACCAGACATTGTTTCAGCAATTGCTAGAGCATTATTGTCTCTCACATTTAGAGGAAGCCTGTAACCCACTGAGCTTAGCTTCAATATCTTCAGATTTGGACAAGACTGGCCTATAGCTTTCAAATGCTCATCTTCGATTGAGCAGTGCAAAAGCTCGAGTTCTTCAAGCAATGGAAGTTTCACGACTGCTACAAAAATTCCAACGCTCGTTATTTGGCCACCTCTAAGTCTAAGGCGTCTCAGATTACTTGATCTGCACAATTATATAGTTGCAATATAGAGTAATAAAATTATCTACTGCTTATAAGAACAACCATAAGATGCAAAATATCAGTATAGAATCTTTCCTAGTACTTAATCTCATAAGCATACTACTAACAAAAATCAGATGGAAACCCTAGACTAACACTTCCTTATACACACAATTGAAATTTCCTTGACACCAAACAAAAATTTTCGATGCTCGTGAGTTTTAGGGTTTAGAAAGAACCTGTCGGCGATGTAATTGAGGAGACAAGTGTTCTCAAATTGCCACTGATCAATGTTGATCTCAAGCAACCCTCCCTGGCTGAGATCAACGACGTGACGACAACAGGCTTCCATATCGAAAATACAGTATAATTTTCTCAGGTTTCTCATGTCGATTTTACGCCAAATCCATGGGTCTTTAGAGACGCGTCGCAACGGTCTGCATACTTTCTGAGCGTTTTGAAGTATCTCTAACGGGCCAAGCCGGAGTAGAATCGAAGACAGCAAATCCGGCAGTAGCTCCGCCCAGTTTGATGGCTCTTCTTCACCTTTCATCAGCGGAAGTTTGAAGTTGGTAGATTGTTAAGAAACCATTGTTTTAAATGAATTGGTAGATTGAAGTTTAAACAATAAAGTCAAATCATGACAAGAATGAAGATCATCAGTGAAACATGTTCATTTGAGGTTTTTTAATCCATTTTCTCTGTTGAGATCTGATGAAACACAACAATTATTGATGTAGGCACAACTACAATAACTCAAAAAGATTTATTGTCTAGTCTTCAAATACTCAAGAATCTAAGTCTTCTTGCTTCGCTGAGAACTCTCAAGTAGTTCTGCTTCGACCAAAAGCTCAAGCAACTTCAACCGAACTCTGATTCTCTTTCTGAAACTCCTCTTCCGCTATCTTAAGAACCTGAGCCCAACCACTACCAGAACTCACGTCAAGATAATCATAAGGAACAGCTGTTTTCAAACCAGGAAGCACACTGAGACGACTCTCAACAATCCTCAATTCCAAATCATCACATTCTCCATGATCTCCTCAAGTTCTTCCCAAGTATACATCAATGGCAAAGTAGAACCACACCAAGTATTGAAATCTATCAGCTTAACCTTTCTCTCTTTCGTCACATAAACATCAAAAGTGTAATTCTGTGATTCAAATTCAAACCTAATCTTATCATCAAAGAACTCTTCTATCAACCCTTTGATCAAATCCTTCTCATTGAGAAGAACAGGGTAAAATGTTGTTACCTCACGCTGACAAATCCCAACAAGGTCGTTAGATTTCACAAAGCATCTAAATTCCATCTCAGGCTTCAAAGAAGGGTACCATTTTCTCAAAGCAAGGTAGAAACTTTCTGGCCTTGAAGAGATTTTGTCAGTACATGAATCATAAGCATTGCAGAGATCATGGATTAACGAATCTGAGGAACGAAACAAGAGAGCAATCTCATTGAAACAAGTGCAGCTTAGATTCTGCGATGGACTGATCCAAGCTGCGTCTTTTGGTGCACTCCAATTCAGCTTCGGGATAATTGTGCCGCCTAGGGTTTCGATTGATTCCCTGATCTCGATTTCGAGTTCTGGAAAAGAAGGGTGATTCAATGGTGGCTCTCCTTCGTTATCTGAAGCTTCTTCGGGGACTTGGAAATCATCTTCTTCTTCGAAATTGTGGACTCTGTTAGGCATTGCGTCTTAGTTTGTTACGGAATCTGGGAGAAGAAACGGACCAGAATCGTCGATGAGATAGTTGATGAATGATTCTGGAAGTTTGTGAAATTTGGTTTTGATGGTTAAGGATTTGAATTTCGGATACCAGTTCTGAATCTGGCATCGATCTACTTCTTCTTCCTTCATCGCGATCAACGAATTGATTGTAGATGACACAAATTTCTTCCTCCGGCGTTATGGAGGTTTTAGGGTTCTTTTTGTTTGCAGACGATGATCTCTAGCGGCGAGGGTTTTATTATTTATTGCTAGAGAAAACTTTTTATGGGCCGTGTAAAAGCCCATATTTTTCCCATATCATTGCTGAATCTATCTTTCCAAACCATGTTTTACCATTGAAATATTTTCGATCAAACCCATGCTTATTGGGCCGTGCCGATCCTGAATAGGTGATGTTAATTAGATTAATTATACTGTCTTGGTACTCATGGGAATATATCGTGGTGTGAGCCAGATGAATTGGATTGGAAGGAGGTGAACGGTTTGGATGAGCGAAAACTGTATGAATCTCTCTGGTTTGAGAATAGCCATCAACACACTCAGCAGCAACTATGATGGGAACATTGTCATCTTCTGGAACAAGCAGCTTGAAGGTATCCCAAGAGGTTAATGGAGCTTTGGTCAGCCGATATTTTCTTGGAAAGACGAGAGGGAGGTTGAGAAGATTGAGTGGTCAAATGCTGTCTTTAAACTTGATCCCTTTTCACACTCATATGGCGTCAAAGTCTTATTTTCTGCTTCTGTCCATGTATGAAATTCTACAATCCTTTTTAACTACCATCTTTGGTTCTTTTAAATATACACTATGGTCCCTTGGCTTTAAAGGTTCTGATATATGATAGAATGCCCACTAAGGTTCACGGAGATTCCAAAGTGAATTGTATGAATCGGTAAAATACAATAATCTAAATGAGAATTACAAACAAACGAATTGGATCTGCCAGTACCTCTCATGAAGCGAGGTAAGTCATTCGGGGTTATCCTCTCAAACCAACAAGGTTAATGTTTAAACACTTGTGTAAATCGAGGTTTTCCAGGTGAGGACAACCTTCAAGAATGGCGTTCAAGCCCGTGTCCGATAATCCGTTCCTGTAAAGCTGGAGGTGGCGAAGACCGGGCATTGTTTCACCAATAGCTAGAGCAACCTTATCACAACACTTAAAATTACCAATACAGTTTAGCTTTAACGTCCTCAGATTTGGACAAGACTGGCCTACAACTTTTAAAACTTGTCCTCTGATTGATGACTTGTATGTAATCTCAAGTTCTTCAAGTAATGGGAGCTTCATGACTGCTTCGACAACTCCACTGCTAACTACTGGACCACAGTCAACAACTCCAAGCCGTCTCAGATTACTTGATCTGCATAGAGTAGCAATATAGAGAATTATAACATGATCTAATTACACTATATATGTGAACATTAACCATATCACAATTTATATAAAATTTGCGTGTTTGCGATTTTTAGGGTTTAGAAAGAACCTGTCGGCGATGTAATTGAGGAGAGAAGTGTTCACCAAGTGCTCAATGTTGATCTCAATCAAGCCTCCCTTACTGAGATCAACGGCGCGACGGCACACGGCCTCGAGATCATGAAACAAGTCTTCGAATTTTTTCGGGATTTTTATGTCGATTTTACGCCACATCGATGGGTCTTTACAGATGCGTCGCCACGATCTGCATACTCTCTGAGCGTTTAGAAGTATCTCAATCGCACCGAGACGGTGCAGGATCGATGACGTCAGTTCCGGCGGTAGCTCTGTCCAGTTTGTAGACTCTCCGTTTTTCATCGCCGGAGGCAAAGGGGAAGAAGACGACGAAGCCATTCCAAGGATCCTATTGATGTATAAGTCCTAAGAGCAAGCCCAATGGTAGAGTTCTTTAAAGGACTCTTAAACATTTTTTAGTTATAAATTATGACAATTTCAAAATTAAGAGTTTATGTTGAATCCTAAAAAAAAATTGTGTCCAATGGTAGAATCCTTAAGTGGGTTTCTTAAAAAAAAATGATAGAAAATTAAGCTTACTATTAAAGATGATGAAAAAACTAAGCTTACCATTAAAGATGATGAAAAATTAAGCTTACATCAGACAAGTCTAAATTAACGAGGCTGCATCGTCATCAAGATATTTATATCACTACACAGTCCAACTCAACAAAATTAAGCTTAGATGATGAAAAAAATCATATGAGAAAAGAATTGGTGTGAACACTTTGCATCAGTGACAACATTGGTAAATGACTCATCAGCATAAGAAAATATAAGAGTTAAAAGAATTGAGGAAATAGAACAATGAGTATGATAAAGAAGTCTGAAAGATAGCATGCATGATCTTTCTGATGTAAAGCTTTTAACATGAAGTCTACTTCATGATTCCTTTTCTTAAATAGAATTTTCACTGCATGCGGCTTGAAGGCATTCCACTAGCAATGCCGTGATAGTTAATGGAAAGCAACTCTTAAACACTTGAACCATACTGAGCATTAGATCTTTCTCCTGAGTATCTGTAGAATTTCTTTTAGCAGGTGCAGACATGGCATAATCTGTTCAATATCTCCCTTGAAACCAACTGCAAATGAAACAAGTACCATCATGATCATTCTAGCACTCACTCACTCACTAAAGCACATATCTGTTATGTTATGATGAACACAAGGGAACCAACAAAAAAATCAAGTTACTACGTCACAAACTAAACTAGCCTAGAAGGAAAAAATGTTATCACACAAATCATAAATTCGATTAACACTTTTCTAAAAACTATCTCTACGAAAATATGACGCCTAACGTAGGTTTAATTATCAGAGAGACTAAGAAACATAATATATCAAAAAATGTGACTATCCGAGAACAAATCTAAACAAAGAAGAACAGTAGCATGAATCAAATTATGAGATTACGAAAGCTAAGTTAGCAGGAATCAAATTCAGGAAGGAGGAGCAGTACGAAAGCTAAGTTTAGGAGAAAGTGAATCAGAAGTTAAAATCAAACAGATTCTTAACATTGATCGACCATTTCTTAATCAAATCAACGCATAATCGTCACCTCTAACACATAAATGTTCACTGATTATGATCAACGATCGTCAATCGTCGAACCTTAACAAACCGAAGCTAGAACAACGCCTGACAGTGAGATTCTACTCAATCGACGAGCAACGAGAGTAAATCCTTACCGGTTGAATCGCTATACAGTTGTATATGTGGTAGGCGCTACCGGTAAACGTTCAACGGCAACAAGACGACGGCACCAGAGAGAAAAAATCGCCGACGGAATTCGGAAAAAACAAGGCAAGAGAGAGAGACACGGGAATTTTTTTTTTTTGTTTTCTCACTTTTTCGAACCAATGACGCGGTGACACGTAGCACCTCTTAACAGCCCAAAAAACTCTAAAACAAGAAACGTTTCTTTGATTTATTATCTGTTTTGATTTAAATTTAGGGTTTTTATTATAAGAACTAAAGCTTAGAACCCTTTAAGAGCCACCATTGCTGTTGCTCTAATAGAGTCAGTCTCTGTAAACTGGTATAAGTATAAACCAGTACATTAGATTATATTTCTAATTCCGGTTAAGGGTTAACCGCACCATGTATTCTTTTTCTAATAAATGAGAATGAGATTTTGTTTTTGTTTAGTAAAATGGTATCAGAGCAAACACGATTCTAACAAACTCTCGATCTCCGATTTTTCTCGGGAAAATTCTCACTTTCTCGGGAAAATTTCTTCAATTCTCATTCAATCTCTCTTCATCTTTTTCGCGAATCCTTCTCTGTGTCTATCCGAAGCTTCGTTCATCTGTCTCCTATGCGATTCAACTCTACTCCGCGATATCAAAACTGAAATCGAGCTCAATGGGAAGAAGAAAAACGAAGACTCGTTCTGTCACACCGGATCCGCCTGATTTTACATCGCTGACGCCTCGCGAGCCACCGTCTGGTTCAATTCAAGCTCGTCGCGACGCCGATGTTCACGAAAGTAATCAGTCTCGAGCGATGTTCCCTAAACGTTCTTCACATCACTTTGAGGTATCTGATTCACCTGATAATGTTCACAGTCCCTACTATCTTCATAGTTCAGATCATCCTGGTTTAGTTCTCACTGCTGATCCCTTAGACGGAAATAATTACGGAACCTGGTTGATTGCTATGACTACGAGTATAGAGGCTAAGAACAAATTTGGATTTCTAGATGGATCGATCTCTAAACCTGATGATGATGATCCGTATTGCAAGATCTGGTCTAGGTGTAATAGTATGGTCAAGTCTTGGCTTCTTAACAGTGTTACGAAGAAGATCTATACGAGTATTATGTACTTCAAAACTGCATCTGATATTTGGAAAGATCTTCATACTCGTTTCCACAAATCTAATCTTCCAAGACTGTACAAGCTTAGACAACAGATTCACTCTCTTCGACAAGGCAGTATGGATTTATCATCGTATCATACTCTTACTCAGTCTTTGTGGGAAGAACTGGCTAGTTTTCAGGCTACAGCTCGGACTATTGAGGATTTGGTTGCAGAAAGAGAAACTAATCGTGTCATAGACTTTCTTATGGGTCTTAATGACAACTATGATACTGTTAGAAGTCAGATTCTTATGAAGAAAAGTCTACCAAATCTCTCTGAAGTATACAACATTCTTGATCAAGAGGATAGTCAGAAATCAGCTCGTCTTCCTTCTCATACCAGTGTCGATCCATCAGCCTTTCAAGTCAATACACAGGTTTCATCTACTCCTGTTCCTGGTAATCAGAATGCTGGAGATGGTTCTTCTCAGAAAAGAGACAGGCATGTTTGCACATACTGTGGTAAAGTGGGACATATAATGGAGAAATGCTACAAGAAGGTTGGATATCCTTTGCACTTCAAGTCTAAACACAAGGCTGGATTATCTACTTCAGTTCATGCAAATGCAGCCACTACTGAAGCACCTGAGCAACTCCACTCTTCAGATGATCTTACTCCATCACAGATACAACAGCTTATGTCTTTCCTCAGCACCAAGCTTCAGTCTTCTAGCACCACTATCACTCCTGAAGTTCACTCTGTCTCAGTTTCTGGCCCTTCTTCTTCTACAGTGTGCCCAATTTCCAGTAATTTTTATCCCTCTATCCATTGTTCTTTTTCCGGAATTGATAGGCCATATGTCTGTTCTGTTAATAGTAATGTCCTTGCTATTAACGCATGGGTCATAGACTCATGAGCTTCTCATAATATCTGTCATGATAGAAATTCTTATTCTTCATACAATTCTCTTTCAAACACCACTGTTTCCTTACCTAATGGCGGCCTTGTGAGCATTGTCGGTTTAGGAACAGTTCCTCTGGGTAGTAATCTAACCCTTAGTCATGTTCTCTACATTCCCCAATTCAAGTTTAATCTCCTTAGTGTTAGTTCCTTAGCCAAACATCTGGGTTATAAGGTTCTCTTTGATGATCTTTCTTGTGAAATTCAGGATCATACACGGGGATTAATGATTGGTAAGGGTAGGGAAATGGCCAATCTCTATTTTCTGGATATAGAAACTCTTTCTCTTCCAGGTATTCCTCTAAATACTATCTCTGTTCAAGCAAATGCTGTTTCTAGCCATGATTTGTGGCATAAAAGGTTAGGACACCCCTCTATGTCTAAGATTCTTCCTATGCAAAATGTCTTAGATTTTCCTAAACCAAAGAATAATACAGATTCTCATTGTAAAATCTGTCATCTATCAAAACAAAAACATATTCCTTTTGTTTCTCATAATAACATCAGTTTAAAACCCTTTGATCTTGTTCACATTGACACCTGGGGTCCATTTTCTGTCCCTACTCATGATGGTTTCAAATACTTCTTAACCATTGTAGATGATTGCTCCAGAACTACTTGGGTTTACCTGTTAAAAACCAAATCTGATGTTCTTCAAGTCTTTCCTACCTTTATTGCTATGATAGAAACTCAATATGAAACAAAACTTAAGGGGGTTAGATCCGATAATGCTCCAGAGTTAGCTTTTAAGGAACTTTTTCATTCTAAAGGAATTCAATCCTTTCACTCTTGTCCAGAAACTCCACAACAAAATTCTGTTGTGGAGAGAAAACATCAACATATTTTAAATGTTGCAAGATCTCTCTTCTTTCAATCTCATATTCCTCTTCCTTACTGGGGTGATTGTATCCTTACCTCAGTTCATCTTATAAATCGCCTACCTGCTCCTATTCTAGGTGATAAAACTCCTTTTGAGGTTCTCACAAAGAAACAACCTGACTATAATCTTTTAAAAGTTTTTGGTTGTCTTTGTTATGCATCTACCTCTCCGAAGAACAGACATAAGTTTGATCCCCGAGCTAAAGCTTGTGTCTTTCTTGGATATCCAGCTGGGTACAAAGGCTACAAGCTTCTAGACCTTGAGACAAATTCAATTACTATCTCAAGACATGTGGTTTTCCACGAAGAGCTCTTTCCCTTTGGTAAATCAGATTTATCTCAGGAAGCTTCTGAATTTTTTCCTGATCTGATTGAACACCATCCTGTGATTCATATTTCATCTGGTGAAGATACTTCTCTATCTTCCCCTTCTGTAGAGAATCTGCCTTCTGCTGATCCTACTATAAATGTCCCTGAATCTTCTGTTCAAACATCTCACAGGAGGACAAAAACACCTACTTACCTTCAGGATTACTACTGTCATTCAGTAGGGTCCTCAACCACTATTCATGAAATAGCTAAATATCTCTCTTACAGTAATATCAATCCTCTGTATTACTCTTTTTTAGTCGCCATTGATAAACACCTTGAACCCAAAACTTACACTGAGGCAAAGAAGCATCAGGTTTGGTGTGGTGCTATGGGGACTGAGATTGATGCACTTGGGTTACAGACACTTGGGAAATCTGCACTCTTCCACCTAATAAAAAGGCCATAGGTTGTAAATGGATTTACAAAATCAAGTTTAATGCAGATGGTAGTGTTGAGAGATATAAAGCACGTTTGGTTGCTAAAGGTTATACTCAAGAGGAAGGTGTTGATTTTCATGAAACTTTTTCTCCAGTGGCTAAACTCACTTCAGTCAAACTTGTTCTTGTTATTTCATCTATTCAGGGCTTCTCATTAACACAATTGGATGTATCTAATGCATTCCTTAATGGAGATCTAGATGAAGAAATCTACATGAAGCTTCCACCTGGATATTCCTCAAAACAGGGGGACCCTTTTCCTCCTAATGCTGTTTGCAGATTAAAGAAGTCTTTGTATGGTCTTAAACAGGCATCCAAGCAGTGGTTCATCAAGTTCTCTACAACACTCACTGCTTTGGGGTTTGAACAATCCTACTGTGACCATACTTGTTTCTTCAAAATCACTAATGTTGTTTTTCTCTGTGTCTTGGTGTATGTGGATGACATCCTTATTGCAAGCAATACTGATGCTGAGGTTGATACATTGAAACAACAATTACAGTCTGCATTCAAACTGCGAGATCTAGGTCCTCTCAAATATTTTTTGGGCCTGGAAATAGCAAAATCTGCGTCTGGTATCATCATTTGTCAACGTAAGTATGCTCTTGATCTCTTAGATGAGACTGGTCTTCTTGGTTGCAAACCGTCATCTGTTCCTCTAGATCCTCATCTGAAACTAGAAAAGGACTCTACTGGTGAATTAGTAGATGCCAAGGCTTATAGACGTCTCATAGGCAGATTAATGTACTTGCAAATTACCAGACCCGATATTACTTTTGCTGTGAATAAGCTCAGTCAGTTTTCTGAAGCACCTCGCACAGTTCATCAGCAAGCTCTGCATAAAGTCTTAGCCTACATCAAAGGCACAGTTGGTAAAGGTTTATTATATCCAGTCACCTCAGAAATGCAACTTATAGGCTATGCGGATGCTGATTATGGTTCTTGCTTAGACTCCAGGAGATCTACATCTGGTTACTGTTTCTTCTTAGGTTCTTCTCTCATTTCTTGGAAGTCCAAGAAGCAACAGATTTGTGCAAAGTCTTCTGCTAAAGCAGAATACAGGAGCTTGTCTTTTGCCTCTGATGAACTTGTTTGGCTCACCAATTATCTCAAGGAATTACAGGTTCATCTGGTAAAACCAACTCTCTTTTACCGTGATAATACTGCAGCAATTCACATTGCTAATAATCCAGTCTTCCATGAGCGTACAAAGCACATGGAAAAAGATTGCCACAGTGTCCGTGAAAGATTGCTTGCAGGTCTCTTTAAACTGATACATGTTCCGACTGAAGAACAAATTGCAGATCCTCTCACCAAGGCATTGTATCCAGCTCAGTTTAATCATCTAGTGCGCAAGATGAGTCTCCATAATCTTTACGCCCTATCTTGAGGGGGACTATTGATGTATAAGTTCTAATAGAGTCAGTCTCTGTAAACTGGTACAAGTATAAACCAGTACATTAGATTATATTTCTAATTCCGGTTAAGGGTTAACCACACCATGTATTCTTTTTCTAATAAATGAGAATGAGATTTTGTTTTGGTTTAGTAAAAGATCCAATTTGCCGTATCCGACTCTATTTTACAATCAGGTCCTCACGGTATAATATATTTCCGAAACTAATTTGGGCCGAACATACTTAAATAATACCTTGGGCGTAGGCCCATATATTTTATTGAAATGCACCGTGTAAGACTAAAGGCTTCTCAGATTACTAGGACTGCAAATAGTTGTGAGTAAAAAGTTTAAAACATATATGACCTAAGATAGAGAACCGAAGAAGAAAGACAACAATGCAAAAGAACGATTTCAGACCTCAGAGGCTCAGAAGAATAACAATCTGGATGTTTTCTACTCCTAAACCCGATAGAATAAAGGAGAAGAATAAACTTTGCATTGTTTAAATTGGGACAATAATGTAGAAGAAACAAAACATATTCAATCCTATTGAGAGCACTTTTATTAACAAAACAATTTAACCAATTGACTTCTAACTTGTAATGCATACCTTCCCAAGTAAAGTGTAAAATTAATGTCCAAAAGTAAAGAGTAAAATCAATGTCCACTCTTTTTTTGTTTTTTTTAGGGAATTTTTATTACCAAAAGGAAAGGTTATTTACAATCTTGTTTCTTTTTGTCAATTTATTCTTTTCGTATGATAGTCAATTATACAATAATCATTAAGAGTCTACTAGCTAGTGATTATTGATAATGATGTGATTTTCATGGGGACACCTTGTGGAATGTTATTGTCTTTGGACATTGTTGATATAAAAGATCAAACGAAATTGGTGATGACTGATGAAACACCAAGGGAAAGTGTAATGTACGATTATATTCTCTCTACAGGTCTACTCAAGTTTCTTTTAGCTATCAATCGCAAAACTTTAGAGTTGATGCTAAAATTAGTTAGTTTTCATAAGTGAATTTAACTAATTAAAATATTGTTAATGTTATATGTAATATGTAACTAAACGATTGTGATAAAGTAATGTGCCAACTAAAAAATACAAAGACCCATAACATTGTTCTCGAGCAACTTAAAATCACGCGCTCAAAACTTCTTAAAAGTCCAAAGGAAATATATTGAAACTACCAAGATAGAGAGAAAGGAAACTGAAAATGTTCATAACTCAAACAACAAAGGTGTCTCCGCATTATTCAGAAAGATTCAATATCTAGTCCCAATGATAGTGGACCTCATTGTGGACGCTGCGCCTTAATCTGAGTCATCATCTGAGTCATAATCTGAGTCATTGGGGTGCCTCAAGTCTTTGATCCTCTCGAAACATCGCTTCTTGAGATCCCCAACAAGGTTGATGTTGAAACACTGGCGTAAATCAAGGTGTTCCAGGTGAGGACAACCATCAAGAATGGCGTTCAAGCCCTTGTTGGTTAGCCCGTTCCCTATAAGCTGGAGGCGGCGTAGTTCAGGCATGCTTCCTGCAATGGCTATGGCATTGTCATCAAACCCACTATTTGAAAACATGATTTCAGGGTTGCGTTTTAGCTTCAATGTCTTCAGATTTGGACAAGACCGGCCTATATCTCTCAGAGACCCTCCTGAAAATAAGCAGTATCAAACCTCAAGGTCTTCAAGCAATGGAACTTTCGAAACTGCTTTGGCAACTCCCTCATCTGTTATTGGAATGCACCTTACAAGTCCTAGGCTTTTCAGATTATTTGACCTGCAAATATTTGTGAGTAAAAAGAGTCAAAAACATAACGTAAGATAGAGTGGACGAAAGACAGATGCAAAAGATCTTCTTTCTTTTTTTCCGTAACTCACGAAGAACCTGAGTCAACCCTTTTAGACGTCAAAACCATAACAATCTGAGAATGATCAATTGGATATTTTCTAATCCAAAATTGTAAGAACAAAGGAATATACAGAAACAAACGTGAAATTTTCTTGAACACAACGAAACCAATGATTCAACATAATCCTAAGCAACTGTGTCCAAAGGTGCATTCATAAAGAGTGACACAAAATCCTCCAATCACACTAACCCTAGAATTAGCAACAACTATTGGCAGCTTGTTTACGCAGTTGATAGTATCCTGATTTAACAGTATAATTACCATCCTTAGTGTAAATCCAAGAGATACTATCAGCGGCTCCTGTAAAGGATGGTCTAATTGTTTTAATCAGAGACATATCCTCAGCACAAATATATTGATCTATAATCTGCTCATTCCATCTAGAACTACCCGTGATCAAGAGATCCTGCACAACTTCTGGTTTTTGCATGATATTAACCTTCAACTTAGCAGGTCTAGGCGGGTTAGATGGAAGCCAATTATCATTCCAGATATTAATGTGTTGCCCATTTCCAACAATCCATTTAATCCCATTAGAAAGAAGTTTGTTACCTTCCAATATACTTCTCCAAGCATGACTAGATCTCCTCTTACTACCAGCTGCCAATAGACTGGATTTTGGATAGTACTTATCCTTATATAGCTGTGCTAAGAGAGATTGTGGATTCTGCAAGATCCTCCAGCTTTGTTTGGCCAGCATTGCTATGTTGAAATGCTGCAGGTCACGGATGCCCAAGCCTCCCATTTGTTTTGGATTGTTGATTTTCTTCCACGCAATCCATGATATTTTACGTTGATCTTTGGATGCAGACCACCAGAACCGACGTATTGTCGATGTTATCTGCTTAATGAGCTTCATGGGAAGGAGGAAGCATGACATACAATAAGCTGGAAGGGAAGTAGCAACAGCCTTGATAAGGACTTCTTTACATGCAGGAGAAAGAAGTTGAGAGTACCAACTTTCCATTTTTTGAGCCATTCTTTGTTGTATATAAGAAAAAGCATTGTATTTGTTTCTCCCAACAAATTCTGGTAAACCAAGATATCTCCCAAAGCCTCCAATTTTAGTTATCCCCAATATATGACTAAGATGTTCTTTCTGTTGCGGAGTTAATCCTTTTCCAAAAGTAATCGCAGATTTTTGTAAATTAACTTGCTGACCTGATATTACTGCGTATTGATGAAGAATGTGAAGCAGCGTATTGCACTCTTCATCCGTGGCTTTGCAGAAAAGTAGTGAGTCATCTGCAAACAATAAATGCGATATTGGAGGACCTTTTTTGCTGGCTCTAAAACCATGTAATTGGCCTTTCAAGTTGAATTCTCGAATTAATGCAGATAAGCCTTCTGAGCATATAAGATAGAGATAAGGAGATATTGGATCACCTTGACGGATACCTCTTTGGGGAGTGATGTTGCCTACTGGATTACCATTTACAAGGATTGAATATGAAACTGTGGTTATGCATTTCATAATCCATGAACACCACTTATCTGCAAATCCCAGCCTCTTCATCATTGCTTCAATGAAAACCCATTCAACTTTATCAAATGCTTTACTAATATCCAGTTTGAGAGCCATAAAGGGGTATTTAAGGTTTCGGATATGAAGCGAGTGAAGCAATTCATGAGCAATAAGGACATTATCAGTAATTAATCGGTCCGGGATAAACGCAGTTTGATTTTCTGAGATTATAAGATGAAGCCAAGGCTTGAGCCTATCAGCCAAAACTTTGGAAATAAGCTTATAAGCTACATTACATAGACTTATAGGCCTAAAGTCTTTCACCTCTTTTGGATGCTCAACTTTAGGGATCAGACATATATGAGTATGATTAATTGCAGGGTCTAGATCTCCATGATGAAAGAAAGACTGAGCAAAGCTAAGCACACCTTTTTTAATAGTTGACCAATGATCTTTGTAGAAACCTGCTCCCAACCCATCAGGTCCTGGAGATTTATCTCTGCTCATTTGTTGAAGAGCTTTATATAGTTCTTCTTCGGTGATAGGCTTGGTTAGACTTTCATTCATTTCAGTGGTCACTCTAGGCTGAAGGCAGTCCAGAATAGCACTCATATTCTGAGGCCCTTGTGAAGTATATAGATTGGTGAAATATTCCTCAATGATACCATGTAGATCTTCGTCCTTATACCTTAGTTCTCCTGTGTTATCCATAAGAGAAATAATGCGATTAAAGTTTCTTCTCTGTTTTGTTTTCGCATGAAAATAGCGAGTATTTCTATCACCTGCTTGAAGCCATTGGACCCTACTCTTAGTGCGCCAGTATTCTTCTTCATTTATGTATTCTTTAGCAAGGTCAGCTTTAAGATCATGAATAAGAGCATAGTTGATTGGGTCCGCTTCATATGCTTGATGCAATAACCTCTTAAGCTCTTGGATTTTTTTCTGGGAATTGTTGATGTGTGTAGACTTCCATCTTGAGAGGCTGTTTCTAAACTTCTTAATTGCTTCATTAAAATTGGCCGCAGGAATGTCTTGACACTGTGTAAGCCAAACTCTCTGAATTTCATCTTTAACTTCTGATTCAAACCGCCATCGATTATCATACCTGAAGAGTTTGTGCCCTCGCCATTTTTTATCGCTGGTATCCAGGAGAATAGGACGATGATCTGATCCTCCCCATGGTAATAATTGGACATGAGCTTTAGGGAACAGATCTTGCCATTCAGCAGTAGCCACAGCCTTGTCGATCTTTGATTTTACTCTGTGATTACACCTCTGTCCAATCCAAGTGTACTTGCCTCCAAACGTTTTGACTTCATGTAATCCTGAGGAATTGAGCATCTGTCTAAAAATTCTAAAACTTGACTCTGCTCTGCGAGGTCCTCCAGATTTCTCCTCATTACTCTTTATATCATTGAAATCTCCGAGAACAAGTCTAGGCTTACTTTGATATAAACCCAATGCTGCTAGGCTAGTCATATATTTCCACAGCTCCTTTCTCTGCTTTTTCTCCGGATGTCCATAGAGATAGGTGAGACAAAAGGTGTGCGGAGTACCGTCTTCCGATATGTACATATCAGTGTAATAGAGCGTTGGCGTCTCCAAAAAGTCTATTTGAACGCGATCATCCCAAAAAACCGCCATTCCGCCACTAAGCCCATCCGGATTTACAACAAAATTATGGGCGTAGCCAAGATCCTTGCATAAGTTATTCACATAACTATAGCCGTTCTTAGTTTCAAACCTTAGAAACTAGCATCCATCAAATTCCCTTAAGAAAAAAAAAACGAACTAGATAGAGACAGAACCTGTCGGCAATGTACTTGATGAGATCATTAGTACCGTAATACCAAATTTCGATCTCAACCAACCCGCCCTGGCATTGATAAGGGCATGAAGGAGATTAGCTTTCTGTTTGAGCTTGAGACCGGCTTCGAAGTAATCGTGTTGGTCAAGCTCGGACTCAGCGCATGTGCCGTGTCAAAATAAATCTTTTATTGTCTAAATTTAGGCCCGTTATAGCAATTTAGGCCCATTAGTGGCGGAAGATCGAAGGGTCTGAGTGACACAAAATCCATTTCAGTCCTTAGAGGATTCAGCAATGTCATTTGGCTGAACTTATGACAAAGAGACTGAAATGGGTTTTTCTGCGTTTAATCGAAGGGTCTTTACAGACGCGATGCCACGATGTGCACACTTTTTGAGCGTTTTCAAGTATCTCAATGGCGCCAAGACGAAGCAGAATGGATGACGTCAACTTCGACGGAAGCTCCGCCCAGTTTCTCCACTTTTCGTCTTTCATCAGCGACGGCACGGAAGTTGACAACAACGAAGAAGAGGAAGCCATTTTTTTAGGGTAAATAAAATTGTCAAATCTATGATATAAGAAGAAGTGGAAGTTACAAAACAATTCGTGCCAGCCAAGTTAGTTACTCGGATAGCCTATTGGGCTTAGATCCACAATAAACTACTGGGCCTATTCGACAGAAGAAAGTGGTGTTATGCTCCACGTTTCCCTTTGTTAGTTATTTAACGTTCCATTACGAAGTTAGATCCGCTTGTACTCTGATTGTAACCATCATGCACCACTTTCTCAAAATCAAAATCAGGATTCTGATGAGCCAAATGTAGAGTCTATTTCAGATTTCCAGGAGAAGAAAAGAAGCAGAACAGAGAAAGTCAACAAAGATGGTTGACTCTGATGGTGAAATTGGAAGGGAAGCCTCTGAGTGATTCAGAGTATTTGCTTTTACAGACTTTCAAGCTTGTGGATTATAAGTGCCACTGCCATTACGGCCGTGCTATGCACGGACATAGTATTTATTAATTTTTTTAATATTAAAATTTAAATATATTTTGGCATCTAACATTTATTTTGGTGTAATCTAAATATTTTAATAATTGGGGTTTTTAATCAAATTCCTAATGTAAGAGAGTATGTATATTTCATATAAAAAAAAAAATTTCGTCATAAAATTTTAACAAAAATCAAAAAAAAAAAAATAAGCTACTAATCTAATTAATTGGTTGGGGTGAGAATAAAATACACGTGTAAAACAATTGTCAGGTAGAATCTCACTCTCATCTCCCCATCTCTCCTCTTCTCTTCGAAGACCCAGAAAAATTGAGGGTTTTATGTTGAGACCATTGGAAAGTGAAAAGCAATTAAACGTGAATCAAGGTGAGATACTGTGAGCTACAATTACATGCAAAGAAAGGGAGATATTATTCCATAAGGTGAGATCACAGAGAAATAAGAGTAATCAGCGAAGAAGAGACTATATGATTTGATTTGATTCTTCATCACCGATTAAGCTCCGTTAAGCCTAAATATCAAAATTAAAGAGATTTAGTTTTAAGGGAATGCAATCAGATTAAACGGAAACAGAAACAGAGAGAAATACAAAAACCATAGAAATCTAAAAGAAATTGGAGATGGTAAATTGATACCTTTGGGATGAGTAAAAGTCACTGATTTCTGAGAATAATCGATGGATGATGATGACTGATGAGAAGACCATTCTTGAGATTTTATACATACAGTAGTCATGGAGATAATGGAGGTGAAGAAGTGGAAGAGGTGGAGATCGTGGGGATGAAAGAAAATAGGGTTTTGAGAAGAAAAAAAGAAGCTAATAAAAACGAATGGATATTTTATCTGTTATTATAATTCTTTTATTATAATTTATGAATCAGCAAAATCTTGCGTGAAAAACAAAGAGTAAGAAAATTGGACTTAATCTGATGTGTCAATCAGTAAATGCATCAGTTATTGACAAATTGGCTGTTGATTTAGTATAATTAGATGTGACCAAATATATAAGTTACACAATCTAAATATTTTCGTTTTCAATGTATATTTACAGTTTTTGCAAAACAAAATTGTCACTTTCTACTTTAAATTGAAGAGAGAAGTTAATGAACCTTCTTCTGCTATACTACTTGTTTTCATTAACCATGACTAAGGGCCCTGAATGTTTACTAGTTTTTAAGTGGTTTTTGGTTTTTAGATTTTGGTTTTTGGATTTTGGTTTTTAAAGTTTTGGTTTTTGGTTTTTTGTTATCAATATAAAAATTAATTAAAAAATTCAAAAAATCAAAAAAAAAATGATTACGTTGAAAACTAAAATTTTTCCCAAAATCCTCAAAATTGTGGTTTTTAGTTTCTCTTTGAAACTTGGAAAAACCACTCAAAAACTAGTTTTCCTAAATTTTAGGGAATCTAATTTTTTAAAATCTTGAAAGGTGAAAAAATAGATTTTTCCATAAACAAAAATCAAAACCCACTTAAAAACTAGTAACCATTCAAGGCCTAAGACTAGTATACGAGACAAAAACTCTAATATTTAAGCAAGTTAATGAACTTTCTTCTGCTATAGTATACTACTTGTTTTCATTAACCATGACAAAGGATAAGTATGATGGTCTGCAACAAAACAGCAATCAATCAAATGAACCATGTGAGAACACATGTGATGTGACTTCAGAACATATTTTACTCGTAAATTAAAGCATATGTACACACGAACATTTTCCTTCATAACTCTGCATCTAGGAGAGTACTAACTCAGTGTCCAAAATAAAATGCAGCTAAACAGGTTATAAGCAAAAGAATCTGGGATAAACTATTTTTAAGCTGACAAAATTTTGCACTAATTAATCTTCACGAGGACAAATTAAAGCAACAAACATATTTCTTGTCACTCAAGTCAGCGCCAAATAAACGACACTCGGAGACTTCCATCAAAATATCCATAACATTTCTTTCGATAGCTGAAAAGTGAAAACTAATGCTAGTTCCAAGCATGCGCTAAACGTTGCCGAGTTTTTTAATGCAACGTCGAGTTTGTTTATCTGTTTTACCAGTTAGTCTCATTTAACGGCCTAAAAGAACGCTTAGGGTTAACTTATTTTTCCGGAATGCTTAGGGTTAAACTAATTGCAAGTTTACACCTGTGTTCAAAAACATTTGCGACCACAACACTAGTTTTGTTATTAAAAAATAAATCTTGGATCTGTTTCGATTTCAGTAAGACTAACAAAATCTATCATGGTCTATAGAATTTGATTTGATTTTGTTAAACTTTCCATCAGAGATTTAGAAACATCTACTGTATATTGATTGAAACAAACGGACTTAATTAGAAAAGAGGACATGAACGAGTTCTTTACTATATTTACCACTAATATTGTCAAAATTTTTTTTGAAAAAATGGCATCTAATGGCGGTTGATCCTTTGTGATTTCAAATCTTTTATCCTCTTAGAACATCTCTTCTCGAGAGTAACCCTCGTAAAGGTGTTCAAGGTGAGGACAACTGTCAAGAATGGCGTTCAAGCCTGTGTTGGTTAGTCTGTTCCATAAAAGCTCAAGGTGCCGTAGTTGAGGCATGCTTTCTGCAATTGCTATTGCTATTGCAATTCCATCAAATCTGGCAATTATACATACGGTGCGAAGGTTGTAATTTAGCTTCAATGTCTTTAGATTTGGACAAGACTGGCCTACAACTCTCAGAGAATCTCCTGACAAATCGCAGAATGAAACCTCTAGGTCTTCAAGCAATGGAAGTTTCACAACCTCTGTTATTAGATTGCATTTTACAAGTCTAAGGCTTCTCAGATTACTTGAGCTGCAAGTAATTGTGGGAAAAAAAAAAACATATCTAAGACAGAGAAGAAGAACGATAATGATACAAAAGGTCTGTATTTTTTTAATGTCTAAACCTAGAATTAGCATACCACGTTCAAAGATTAATTAAATTTTTATTGAAGAAAAACAAAAATTGGCTTGCTTTTGAATGATAGGGAGAAAGAGAATGAGACAGAACCTATCGGCCATGTAATTGAGGAGAGAATCAGTACCGAAGTACCCAATGTCGATCTCAACCAAACCGCCCTGGCTGCGATCAACTGCGTGGCGACATATGATCTCCATGTCTATCATGCCTCCCAAGTTTTTCGGGTTTCGCATGTCGATTCTCCGCCACATCCAAGGGTCTTTACAGACGCGACGCCACAATCTGCACACTTTCTGAGCGTTTTCAAGTATTTCAATCACGCTCAGCCGGAGCAGAATCGATGACGTCAAGTCCGACGGAAGCTCCGCCCAGTTTCTATATCCTCTGTCTTTCATTGACAAAGACAAAAACGGCGAAGACTCAGAGAAAACGGCAACAAAGAAGAAACCCGAAGTAGTTTAAAGACTTTCGTATCCATCACTAAATTACAGTTGGGTCCTCATTGTGATACATATTTACGAAATCAGTTGGGATTATAAAGTATAAGAAGCCCACTGATGTAATCTCTTGGATTCGTTAACACTTAACACTCATCTGTTAACGAACGTGGTATTTTACTGGCATTATATGTCGAGCTAAAGATATAGGCTCAATATCAATAAGGAGAATGAAGACCTCTAACTTGTTAACTTTGTGACTTTCATTGCAAAGACATGTTAAAATCTGTTCTTCTCAAAAACTTTACAAAGGCAAAGAGGGACACACAAGTCAGCTGAAACAACGGACTTGCCGAAAAGAGAACATAATCGAGTTCATTACCAGTCGCCACTGATATTGTCATTGCATTCTTCAAAATGATCAGACAGCGTATCCTATCTAGTCATAATAAGGATTATATAGGTCAGAATCATCTGAGAAATAGTTGTCTTCTCCTTCTGAAATAATAACGGAAGTGGCATCAAATGGGGAATCAGCAGTTGAGTCCTCAGGGCGTCTCAAATCTCTGAAACTCTCAGAACAGCGCTTCTCGAGATCCCCGACAAGGTAAATGTTGAAGCAGCGGCGTAAATCAAGATGTTCCAAGTGAAGACAGTTGTCCAGAATAGCTTCCAATCCTGAGTTGGTTAGTCCGTTCCCAAAAAGCTCGAGGTAGCGTAATCCGGGCATAGTTTCAGCAATTGCTAGAGCTTCATCATCATATTTAACGTACCGGCTGAAAGAAGGGCGGTTTAGCTTGAATGTCTTCAGTAGTGTGCAAGACTGGCCTATAGCTTTCAAATCCAGTTGTGCATAGCCGTGTGAAATCTCGAGTTCTTCAAGGAATGAGAGCTGCATGACTGCGCTGACAAACCCCTTGCCTGTTAGTGGATAGCACATAGCAAGTCTAAGGCATCTCAGATTACTCGATCTGCAAAAGAAAATTGTGATAAAGTTATCAAATATTAATCAACTCAAAAGCATATATACCACATAACCAAATTCATCTAAATCTCAGAGAACATTGCTTTACCAAAACCACAGCTTCAACAACATGACCTCTAACTTGCAAGGCATCCACACAATCCCAAGGCATTAACCAGACAAGACAAATGCAACAATTGACACAAAAACAAATCCAGTTAATAAAAATCACAAGCTTTGTTAAATTTCGCCCTAATCCTCACAAATCACAATGTAGGAATTCGCCCAATTTGCAATCACTCAGACTACTGAGACCATTTCTTCACCAATCCTTACCAAATCTGAGCTAACCCTAGAAACGTAATCAAAATTCTAAGAATAGTAGAAATAACCTTTCAGCAATGTAGGAGTAGAGAGAATCGTTGCCGAAGTGTACCATGTTGATTTCGACCAAACCGCCTTCGCTGAGATCGACGGCGTGACGACACATCCTATCGTAGTCGTAACCAAATATTCCGTTGTTTCTCATGTCGATTTTGCGCCACATCGATGGGTCTTTGCAGACGCGTCGCCACGATCTGCATACTCTCTGAGCGTTTTTCAGTATCTCAATAGTGCTGAGATGGAGCAGAATCGAAGATGTTAACTCCGGCGGAATCTCCGCCCAGTTTTGGGATTCTCCTTCTTTCAACGGCGGAGGAGGAAGCCATTTCTGTGAGAAACGGCAAATTGTTGGAATCAGTGGAAATTTACAATCTTGTCCTCATCGCACTAAATATTTACGAATACAATTTGTGCCAAGTATAATAAGCCCAATAATCGAATACAACATTGGGCCTAGGCTCATACAAGACATTAAATTTCCAGGCTCACTACCATAACGGATTGAGTCACAAGTTGTTAATAATTTTATGTAGGGATCAGCTGTTATAGTTTAGTTTGTGTAGAATTTGACATGATGTATATATAGTTCATATTATCATATAGGTTTTTTTTTTTTTTTTTCTTTTTGGTAAAAAACATGTGCATGTTTTTTTTCTTGTTCTGGCAACACACATTTTACTTGGTTAAGATTCATTGTTAATTCTTTTAAATAGAAGAAAAAAAAATTAGAGCGTGAAATGAGGTAAGACAGACAAATTTAGTTGAAAAAATTAAAAGCCTAGCCAAAAAGTGTCGAACGAAATGATTCTCCACTAATTACGCCTCCAAAAACATGGAAGTTTCAAAAGTACAACAACCATAATCTGTTATTGTCCACTCACCAAAAAAAAAAAATTGGCTTAATTTCTTCCGACATCTTCCTTTGTTCATCATTTTTGGTCTAATTGATTCTCTCCCGAAGGCGATTTTGAACCGGGTAAAATGAGCCGTCTCCGAGCATTTTCTGCGCCGGATTTAGTTCCTTCTGATTCTGGATCTATTACATCATCACCAACAAGAACCATAGAGCACCAATCTCATGAAGATTCTGGTTTAGAAGGTAAATCAATCACATTCACCTACTGTAATAAAGACATGATTTCTAGAGTTTTTCCTTTTCCGTTTTGTGCAAGAAAACAATCTTGTGACTTGCGTCGCAAGAAATTGTTAAACGTGTTCTTGCTTCTGTTTAAGGAATCACTACGAACGTGAAGCTACTGCTGAAACTCGTTCAAGATCACAACGAAGCAACCTCGAGGCACCACGATGATTGGAAGGTCCAGAGAGTCAACACGATGATGACGATTCTCGATGATCTAAAGACACGAATCCAGAAAGCTCAACAACAATCATCATCTGGGAAAAAAGAGCTTAGACGATGCTTCACAGATCTGAAACCGGGTCATGATCTAACCAAGAGTCCAACAAAGCCGCCACAGAACGATCCTGAAGATATTCAGAAACTGAGAAAAGAGTTAAGCGCGAGTATGGCTGCAAGAAAGAGTCTTCAAATGATGTGTTCGAGTTTAGGGAAGGAGAAAGAGATTATGGCTTTGGAGCTTTCGAGGAAAGCTCACGAATTGAACGAAATGGAGGAGCTTATAAGTGATTTTAGGGCTCAAAATGAGAAATTACTTAAGAAAGTGCAGAATTGCGCGGCAGAGCATAATAAGGAGAAGAAAGGAGATGTTGATTGTCCAGAGGACAACAATGTGCCTCTACAGGGAAGAAACAAAGAGTTATCTGAACAGCTTCTCAAGTCTATTGACGGATACCGATCTTTGAAAAGGAAATACAAAGATGTTCAAGAAGAAAATGGATCAATGAGACGAGCGCTTAGAGATTATGCAGAAGGAGTGAATGTTGGGACTCAGAGACTAACCAAGTTGCATGAAAAGATCACAAGAAAAGATGAAGTGAATATTGAGAATGAGATTTCAGATTTAGAGAAGTTGTTTCAAGGGCTTGGTTTAAAGATTTCGAATCATTCCCAAAAGAAGTAAAAGAAACAGAGATTTTCATTTATGTATCAAAACATAGATTCTAATCATGTAATTTTGGAATTTTTTCACTTGAATTCTTGCTAGGTAACAAGAATTCTGAGATTTGTCTCTCCTTTTCTTAAATTTGGATTTAGCAATTTGCTCATAGGTCTATTGGAAGCCGTAATCCGTCGTGAGCAAGCTGTACATGGATTCCTTCCCTAGAAATCAACACAGTATACTAGCATTCAGCGATGTTGATTTATAGAAATGTTATAACATTGTGTCATTGCATACCTTAGAGACCATTCCACTAGTATCTCATTGTATTCATGGTGATCAAAGTCGTGTGTCATGCCCGTTAAAAGCGCTCTCTTTGGGCAGAGCCTCTTTATGATTTCAAGAGCCTAAAGAACAAAGAATATTGAAACTTATCTTCAAAAAGGGTCAGAATAGTTAAACATTCTTACAAAAATGAAAAAAACATTGAAACAAACCTCAGGAAAACAGATGTGTGTGGGATGTAGTCCTCTCTATTATCAAAGAGATGGTCAGCAAGAAAAAATTTCAAGATCGAAAAGCGGTAAACAGAAGTTACAAAATGATATTAACCTTCCGCGGTATATTTGTATCCAGGATAAGAAGATCCAACTGTCCAGCCCCGGCTTTGGAAATAGCTGCACAGTCAAAGATTCAGAAGAAGATCAATCTATCTCTTTAGTAGAAGTGAAATACAGAGTTATAATGATTAAGGCGAACCATAATGAGCTCTTACCATACTCGGTACTCGGTGGAATGCGTGAAACATCAGATATATAAGCCACTTTACTTTTACCGCCAAAGAGGAAACCTAAAGCAATGTAGTCCTCTCCATGCATCACCTAAAACATAACATTGTTGAGTCTATAAGGTCACATGGAAGAATCAGATTGTTTTGATTTACTCGAAAGTCAAAAGAAGTTTAACTGGAAGAGGCGTGAAAGATAAGCCCGAGGCAGTGAATGGTTTGTCACAATTCTCTTCAATGATAGTCCAGTCAAGCAGCGAAACCCGTCTAGGTACTTCTTTAACCTTCTTTTCAACCAAATAAGGAAACCTTGTAGCAATACTGCATGAAAATGCACAATTTTGCTGCCTTAAAAGTCTCATTGGAGAAATACTAATTGAAAATCTTTGAGCCACAGTTGAGATAGAGAACACTCATCGAAGATGGATAAACTGAAAGGTGTACCTTTCCATTGAAAATTGAGATAGAAACACAGGAAGTGGATAGGTGTCCATAGTTGCACCACGAGGTTGAAGAGATCGAATATCATCTAAGCCATGAACCGCGTCAGCGTGCTCATGAGTTAGAATGATCTACACAAATCATACCACCACTAATCAATAAAAGTTAGATTTAATTTCAGACAAAAAAAATAGATGCAAGAAATCAAGAAGATAAGCATATAAAGGGCTTAACGGAATCGACTCGAGGAATCTTATAAAAGGTAAACCAACGAAGGACTTGCTCTCTAAAACTCTTGCCAACATCAATAAGTATGTAATTATGTC